TGGCTTCCCCTGCGGCTCTCCATTCCTGTCCCCTCCCTGCCCAGTCAGGAGGACGCGGGTCTGTTTCTCATCACCTCACCCTAGCAGCCACGTGGAAAAGGCAGGCAGGCCCTGGAGGTACCTGTGGGAAGTACTTGACCAACGTCACTGCGAGCTTGATGTAGGAGAAGCAGAAGAGAAACTGCAGCCACGTGGTTACCCCAGCTGCAGCCAAAATCATCATCACGCCCGCGAAGAACCACGAGAGCACCAGGAAGCCAACAGTCGGCCAGGACACCTGCTGGTCGCCTCGCTGAGAATGAGAGGGGGTCGGAGGGGAGGTAAGTGGGGTTGGGTAAGTGCCACATCAGCAACCTGACACACAGCCTTACAACGCCCTTTCCAGCTGAAGCACCAAACGATCCTCCGATCCTCTGGCAACAGGGCTGAGTCCAGGCCCCTCAGGACCACCCCGGACCCTCATAAGCCTAGTCCCTCCACTGGCACCCTGACGCCAGCTACCCCTGTGGGCTCACGATTCCTCTCATTGCCCCTTGGTCTTCACAGTTCTGTCCCCGAGCTGGGGGAGCCCCACCCTGGCCCTCCTCCCATGGCCACAGGAACGTTACTCATCTCATGGACCACAATACACACCATTTCCTTGATGCCCCTCTCCCCTTCCTTGCCAGCTGGGCCAGGGCTCCAAGAGCTGCTGTGCTCTCCCCTCCCCCTTGCCTGGGTCATCATGCCTCTCTCTGTTCCCCTCACCCAAGACCTGGGGATGGGGGTGAGCGCTTGAGCTCAGAGGATGGTCCCTGTGCCCAGCACAGGGCCTAGCCTATTATCTTGGCCCCAATAATCCATCAGATGCTGAGTGAACAAACACGTGTCCTTTCTAAGGGTTTCCGTGTCTTCTACAATAAAACAGCAGGTGTGGATAGCACGTGGTGGTGGGTGCTGGCCTGGCAGCCACAGGGGGCAGGTGCCATTTCACCTCTCACCTCATACAGGATGCACTGCAACAGGACAACCAGGGTGAGGACAATGGCGTGCAGGCTGAAGAAGACATCGTTGCTCTCCACAGGGTTCACTCCATTTGGGTATTTGAGGAAAAACTGCTCCTGTTGAGGGGGTGCAGAGAAGCCAAGGAGTGAAGAGCAGCCGGGCCACTGAACAGCTTGGGCTGGGCTGTGGTGGGCGGGCAGGGCCATACCTTGATGTGTGGCACCCAGAAGAGGCCGACGTTGAACACGCTATAGGCCAAGAAGCCAGTCAGGTTCAGGGTAACGAAGTCCAAGCTCAGACCAACAACACTGTGGGGTGGGGAAGTGGAGAGACAGGGCAGGGAAGGAGGTGAGTCGACCAGTGAAGGCGTGGGAGGGGGCAGAGCTCCCAGTACACGGAAAGAAGGGGCTGGCCCCCCGAAGCACAGCGCTGTTCTCAGGTCCCCCTTCATACCACAATCGACAGCACTCAATCCCACCCTCTTGGGAACCAGTTTCCTCCTGCCTTAAGTCCTGGCCCCAGAGGGTTTGGAGCCTCCTGCAGAAAGGAGGCATCTCCCCCACTGGCCCCAGCTCAGCAACCCCCTAAGAGGCCCGTGTGCCTAGGGTGACTGCATGAAACTGTGCACCCTTGCTGCATGAGCATGCAACCCCAGGCCCACTGTCTGCCCTCCCTCCCTCCCACTGCAAGTGACACACAATATCCTACTCATTTCAGTACATCACAATGATTTGATATTTATATACATTGTGAAACGATCCCTACAATAAGTCTACTTACCATCTGTCATTACAGTTATTACAATATTATTGATTATATTCCCTGTGCTGTATATCACATCCTCTTAATCTTTTTCACCTATTTCACCCACTCCCCAACGCCCCCCTCCCTTTGGTAGCCACCAGTTTGTTTCCAATACCTACGATTCTGTTTCTATTTTGTCTTTAGACTCCACATAAGTAAAATCACCCAGTATTTCTTTTTACCGTCTTACTTACTTCACTTAGCATACCTTCTAGGTCCATCTATGTTATCGAAAATGGCAAGATTTCATTCTTTACTCATTTGTCTATCGATGGACAGTTAGGTTGCTTCCATATCTTGGCTATTGTAAATAACACTGCAATGAACCTAGAGCTGCATATATCTTTTCAAATTGGTGTTTTCATCGTTTTTGGATATCCAGAAGTGGAATTGCTGGATCATACATTAGTTCTATTTTTAATTTTTTAATAACAGTATGGAACCTCCACACTGTTTTCCATAGTGGCTGCATCATTTTAAATTGCCACCAGTGTATGAAGGCTCCCTTTTCTCCACATCCTTGACAACACTTATTTTTTTGTCTTTTTGATGACAGTCCTTCTGACAGGTGTGAGGTGGTACCTCGTGGTTCTGATGTGCATTTCCCTGATCATTAATGACACTGAGCATCTTTTCACGTGTCTGTTGGCCATCTGTATCTTCTTTGGAAAAAAGGTCTGTTCAAGTTCTCTGCCCATTTTTTAATTGAGTAGTTCGATTTTTCGATATTTATATAAGTTCTTTGTACATTTTGGCTATTAACCTCTTATCAGATGTACGAATTACAAGTATCTTCTCCCATTCAGTAGGATGCCTCTTCATTTTGTTAGTTTCCTTCGCTGTGCAAAAAGCTTTTTAGTTTCTCAGCTGGCGTGGCTCAGTGGTTGAGCATCTACCTATGAATCAGGGCACGGTTCGATTCCCAGTCGGGGCACATGCCCGGATTGCGGGCTTGATCCCCAGTAGGGGGCGGGCAGGAGGCAGCCGATCAATGACTCTCTCATCATTGATGTTTCTCTCTCTCTCCCTCTCCCTTCCTCTCTCTGAAATCAATACAAAAAAACACACATTTAAAAAGCTTTTTAGATTGATGTAATTCTGTTTGTTTATTTGTGCTTTTGTTGTCCCTGTCTGAGAAGACATAACCAAAAAAATATTGCTAAGGCTGAAGTCAAAGAGCTTACTGCCTGTGTTTTCTTCTAGGAGTTTTATGGTTTCAAGTATTACATTCAAGTCTTTAATCAAAATGGTATAAGACAGTGGTCCAGTTTCATTCTTCTGCATGCAGCTGTCGTTTCCCCAGCACCATTTATTGAAGAGTTTGTCTTTACCCCATTGTATATTCTTGATTCCTTTGTCATATATTGACAGCATATGTGTGAGTTTAGTTCTGGGCTCTCTTTGGACATTCCACTGATGTGTCTGTTTTCGTGCCGGCACCATGCTGTTTTGTTTACAACAGCCTTGTAGTATAGCTTGGTACCAGGAAATGTGATACCACTTCTTTTTCAAGATTACTTTGGCTATTCGGGGTCTCAGTGGTTCCATACCAATTTTAGGATTCTTTGTTCCAGTTCTGTGAAAAATAACATTGGTAATTTGATGGGGACTGCACTGAATATGCAGATTGCTTGGACATTTAAACAACATTAATTCTTCCACTCTGGAAGCATGGTATATCATTCCATTATTTGTATCTTCATTAATTTCTTTCATTGATGTCTTACAGTTTTCAGAATACAGGTTTTCACCTCCTTGGTTAAACTTATTTCTAGGCATTTTAACTTTTTAGATACAATTATAAGTGGGATTGGTTTCTTAATTTCTCTTTCTGAAACACTGTTATTAGTGTATAGAAATGCAGATTTCCTTCACATATAGTTGAGGTGCCTTATAAACCACTGTTTTTTGTGCTATGCCCAGGGCTGGTGAGGCCTTACACAGGCCCCTCAGTAATATCCCTCCCTGCTGCAGGTCTCCGAGTCAGGGACAGGATTTCCTTCGTTATCATGTCTCATCCCTCCTACCTTCTCCATGCGGTCCCTCTATCCTTCGTTATCATGTCTCCTCCCTCCTACCCTCTCCATGCGGTCCCTCTATCCTTCGTTATCATGTCTCCATCCCTCCTACCCTCTCCATGCGGTCCCTCTATCCTTCGTTATCATGTCTCCATCCCTCCTACCCTCTCCATGCGGTCCCTCTATCCTTCGTTATCATGTCTCCATCCCTCCTACCCTCTCCATGCGGTCCCTCTATCCTTCGTTATCATGTCTCCATCCCTCCTACCCTCTCCATGCGGTCCCTCTATCCTTCGTTATCATGTCTCCATCCCTCCTACCCTCTCCATGCGGTCCCTCTATCCTTCGTTATCATGTCTCCATCCCTCCTACCCTCTCCATGCGGTCCCTCTATCCTTCGTTATCATGTCTCCATCCCTCCTACCCTCTCCATGCGGTCCCTCTATCCTTCGTTATCATGTCTCCATCCCTCCTACCCTCTCCATGCGGTCCCTCTATCCTTCGTTATCATGTCTCCATCCCTCCTACCCTCTCCATGCGGTCCCTCTATCCTTCGTTATCATGTCTCCATCCCTCCTACCCTCTCCATGCGGTCCCTCTATCCTTTGTTGTGCAGAAGCAGTTTGATAGGCCCTCAGTTCTTTAGCAGGAACTGCTCTATATGCAGGCGTATATTCGGTATGTCTGTGGGAGGATGTGAGTTCAGGGTCTTCCTGCACCCATGTCTTGGCCTCACCTCCCACTTTGTTTTTAAAATCAAGGTGGGAAGGTGTAATCTCCAAGGCTGAGGGATCCACCTCCAGCACTGCAGCATGACACTAATTCCTCCACACTGGACAGACCGAGATGAGAGCATATATGGGTGGACTTTGTCCCCAGTCAGCCCATCCTCACTTCACTGAGAAGCCCCACTTTGCTGCTTCCACCGGAGTACCTGAATTGGGCAAGAGACCAACTGGCCAGCAGTACAAGTGCTACCACAGGCTTTTAGAGCTTTCACATCAACAACTTTCTAGAAAGGGCAGGAAGAGAGACAGCAGAGGGGGAAAGCGTGAACCCATGCTACCTGCAGCTCACTGGAATGCCCGTCATACCGGCACCAAATGAACCTGCACAGAGAGCTCAGCAGATTACCTTTTCCGCCACCAGTTCGTGATCACCTGAGGGTAGAAGGAGATGGACCAGGCTGAGAAGTAGATCCAGCCAATCACCTGGTTTATGATGTTAATGGTGTTGCTGTGGATCACCAAGAAGTGTATCCTTGGGCTAGAAAGAATTTGGGGAGCAGGATGAGCTGAGGCTGGGCCCCTGAAGGAAACCCCCACCTGCCCAGCACTGCCTCCCTTCTCATCATTTAAGACCCAGCTTACCCGGCTTGGTTGGAATGATTTCTGTGCAGAAAAATAGTCATTTGTCCCACATTTCGAGCGGTCACTTGAAAAGAGGACTCTGTCACTCCGGGAGGCACCACAACCTATTAGGAAAACTGAATTTGATCCAGTGCCATGTATTTACTGGGACCTCACTGAGTGTCCATCTAGCTGTAGGCTATGCACTAGCAACTGTAGAGCACACAGGGTCCCTGCCTTCCAGGAGCTTACTAACAAAAGGGAGAAATGTTGGACCAACCAGCCAACTGGGATCCCCCCATACACCTGTGTGTTAAGACTTTCTGAGTGGAACACGGTTCTGCCCTCAGGCCCACCCCGGCTTATCTCTAAGGGAAGGTAGATGGCTCTCTTCCTTTCACTAGCCATGCGATCTGTGGATCAGCCAAACCTCAGAGAGCTGAGTGCCAGACCTGCTTTTAGAACCACTGCCTTTTCTTAGCCTGTAGGAGGCCTGATACCCGGGGGCAGGAGAAGCTGTGTCTAATGTGTGATGTTCGCCACAGGATGAGACAAGGCTCCTTTCACATAAAGGTAAACACTTCTAGGTAAACACTTCATTTGACCATGCTTCCACACTTGCTTGCTGGGGGGCTCAGAGCCCATTTGCAGCCCATTGCTACAACCACGCAGGGCCTTGTGATGTGCCTTATGGTTGTCAATTTCATCCCTGTGTTCATCCTGCCTGGTTTTTATAAAACCCTCGTTTACTCTACACTGCCTCCCCTACTGATGTTTTTTATCCAATTTATCAGTAATTGGCTCACATCCTTGGAAAGGCAGCAGCAGGGAGATATATTAACAGACAAATGCATAAGGGCTATGAATAGTTATCGCTGTGATACCAGACAGACGCTGGCCCTGGTTTCTGGAAATTACACTCAACCAATGGAATCTCAGAACAGTGCTTTGCAAACATGAATGTGAACCCAAATCATCCAGGGATGGTGCTCATGTGCAGATTTTGAGTAAGTAGATCTGGAATGGGGCCTGGGATTCTGAATTTCTAGAAGGTTTTCCAGCAGGGACAATGCTGCTGGGCCATGAATACCCTGAGTAGCAAGGTCTTAGAAAACCACCTTAAGAATTTCTTCTATATTCTCAGAACCATGGTGTAAAAACAAGGTGGCCTATTTCCGGAAGCACTTCATTAAAATGTGCTTTGTTACCCAGCAGTTTTCTACCTACCAGTTAAGGTTCATTACTTACTTCATCAGGGAGCTCAATGATAGTAGCATTTTTTGAACGAAATGTGATTTCAAAAGTGATCACCAAGGATGCATTTAGTGGATACCTGTGGAGGACAAGAGTCTGATTACTACTGAGAAGTTGGACACTTTGAGATCTCAACCCACCTTCCGGATTTCACACAGGGCCTGTCATTTCTCAAGCAGTTAGGGTGAGGAAGTGCTGTGTGCTCAACCTGCAGGGTAGACAGATGGGCCCCCTGCTCCTTAGGAATTTTCTATCTTTATCAGGAAAGGACGTCCCACTGGGGCTGGGTGAGAACATGAGAAGGTGTGAAATTGGCTATGAATGCCAAAGGAGGTGTCCGGAGACCGACAGGACGGTGACATCGGCGCTGGTGGGAAAGGCTTCCTTTTGAGAGGACTCAGGTCTGAGCAGGAAGCAGCGTGTCCCCAGAAAGCTGTGAGATATGTCTGACTGGGAGCAGCCCGTGGGGGCCTTGAGTCTGGACTTAGAGGCCTGGCATTGATTTGGAAGGCAGTGGAAAGCCACTCCAGGATTGTGGAGAGGGCAAAGCTGTGGCGAGGGGGTGACATACCAGATTCATAAGGTGTCCATGAGCAGAGAGAGGTGGCAGGGGAATGCAGTCTCTTGGGGAGCCTTGGTACCAAAGCCTTGGCTTGAGAACAGATTTCCCAGGAGAGGTGAGGAAAGGGAGAAGGGGAGAGAGGAAAGGACAAGGCTACAGACCTACATCTACAGCAGGCGTGGGGAACATCTGGCCTGAGGGCCACATACGGCCTGAGAAATCATTTGATCTGGCCTTGCCAAGGCAACCAAAGGCAGGACTTGAAATTCAATAAATCTAGGAGCTTTTTTCATAGCTGATTTTTAAGTTGATAGTTTTGTATGGCCCACGAATGATGTTATAAATACAGAAATGGCCCTTGGCAGGAAAAAGGTTCCCCAATCCTGGTCTACAGGAATCTGTGTGACTAGGAGGCAGTGAAGGATACGGAAGAGGGAGGTTCTTTGGCAGAGTCTGAACTAGGTCAGCACCCTCATGCCTGAACCAGTAGAGGTCAGCAAGAAAGACTCTCAGACAAGGCTAAGTGAGTCGCACACATGGGATCCACCAGATGAAGTCACTTCTGCTTCTGGAAGTGATCTAAGTAGTCCTTAGCCCCTGACCTTCAGGGCTCTCCTCAAATATTTAGAGCCTTGGAAGGGACCACTGTGAAGTCTGGCATCAGCTGCTGGTCACTCAAGGACTCCTCTTAGCTGGGAAAAAGGCTCATGACTCTGAGGAGAAGCCCCTTTCCTAATCCTCCCACCAGAAACAATGGTTCAGCGGATGAGGGAAGAGACTCTGGGACCTCGGTCTGCAACCCAGGGTTAGTGCCTCTCTTTCTCTGGCTTCTTTTACAGCAAAGAGGCAAGAACGTAACCCTTGAAATATGAATGAAATATGAGCCAGCCATGAGGTGGAGGAGCTGGGCTGAGGACAGCACCGGGCCTGGGAACTTACTGAAGGGTGATGTTGATATTGGTTGAGCTTCCGTTCATCATCTTCACAGTGGGAGGAACAGCAAGGTCGACTGTTGACTCTGGAAGGACCCAAATCAGTGGCATCAGTCATTAGGTCAGAGAACTCAGGCCCACAAGGAGAGACTGGGACAAGGGCCCTTGACATCTGAGCTCACGAACTATGACTCATGATAACCCCTGTCTTCTACGTGAAGTCAGGAGGTTCTGAGAGGCTAAATGATGGGACTGGGAACTGAACCCCTCACTATGCTCTTTCACCTCCTGCTGCCATTGAACAGGGAGACACGGGCCTGAGCAGGAGACGCTGCAGCTCCCTCCTCCCCAACATGACAGGCTCTGAGTGTATGCGGCTGAGTTGTTCAGAAATAGTTTTAGAACCAGAGCCCCAAAGCTGTCACAAAGGAATTTAAGCCACGATCCGGGAATGGAAGATGTGGACTTGAACCACCCCTTCAGATGGAAATCATGGGAGTCTCCTCTGTTTGTGGATCTTAAATGGCCCTGTAGAACTGGTCCACCCCTTCTTGTACTCAGACATGTGGGGCCCAGCCAACCTGTTTCTCAGGAAACCCTTTTGGGCTCCCATCTGAACCTGAACCCAGCTCAACCCATTCACTGATCCCAGGAGCCGAGGCTGATGGCTGGGGACAGGGAAGACTGAGGAAAAAGACACACTTTCACTCTCGGAGATTTCTTCTTGGCACTGAGGTGTTTGCTCAGGATAAGGCAGACAAACAGGCCTCCAGGGTGAAGGAAGCAGGTCTGGGAGGCCAAGTACCCCGGGGCAACTTGGCCACAGCACGTGAGTATGCGGGCCTCTCTCTGACCTCTTCTCAGTGTTCTTAGGACAGCCCCACTCCTGTCTCCGCCCCTACTCCCAGGTATGCTGGAAGCTACAGGCACCTGTCCACTTTGCTGCCCTCACCGATCAGGAATCCAGCCTGGGAGCGGAAGGGGGCCCACAAGGGGGAAGCAAATGCTTGACTTGATGAAGACAGTCCTTGTTGGGGAAGGGGCTGCAGGCAGGGCCCAGGTCTCCCTCTGCCCAGACCCATGAAAGGCAGATGAAGAGCTGAAATTTTAGGTGCTCAGGTTGGAAGGGCACTTAGAAGTTCTCCATGGTCTGATTCCCCTTCTCAATACTCCTACCTGGCAGTTTCTCTTCCTCTTCCTGGACACCCTGAGGGAGAGTAACCCCACCTCCTCCAAGACAATGGGCCACTCTGGAACTTGCACTCCTGGGCCTGGCTCTGCCACCTGGGACCTCTCAGACCCTATCTGAGCCACCTTCCCCATGCTAACCCACATGTGAATGCAGATGTGCTCTGTCCCGTGTCTGCAAGTCTCCAAGCCGACTCCCACCAGGGTCCTTCTGAGTGGCATGTCCCCACCCTGGCCCTTGCAGAGGCCAAGCTGTTCACAGCAGAGTAGGAAAGTCCCTCGCTTATGCGGAGCCTCAGGGCTTGGAGGCAGTTTTGACAACTTCCCCTCTCCTTTTTCACTCACTGCTCTCACAACCAACCTGTGGCATTGTTCTGAGCTTGCGCAGCTGGGATAGGTCCTCGCTGTTACTACCTAAAGTTGAGGACCACACCAGATAAGTAATACTGTGACAAGACGGTACCTAGGACAGGGATGCTGAAAGTGATGCCAAGCAGCCACCAACGCCTCTGGGTGCCCAGGGCTCTGCCAGGACTGAGGTCAAGTGAGTGGGAGATCCCCATGGCCTCTGCTCTTCCTCCATCTTTCCATTTTAAAAGAGGAGGCTGTGAATTCTCAAAGAACCAGACCAAGGAAAGTTTACTTCCCTCTCACTCAGTGCTACTGAAGACAGCAGTGCTCAGCAGCTGAGAGACTGGGCTCTGAAGTCAAACAGAGCCATCCTGACTCTTCACTTCCTAGCTGTGTGACCATGGGTAAGGTACTTAACCTCTCTAAGCCTCTGTTTCCTCACCTGTAAAATGGGGAGAACAGTGCTACCTATCTCAGAGGGCATCATAAAGATTAAGTGGTGATGTTTGTGACTTTCCACAGTTTGATCAGAAAGAAAGAGGAAGGAGAGGGAGAGAAACATTAATGTGAGAGTGAAACATCAATCAGTTGCTTCCCAGAAGTATTCCAACTGTGGATCAAACCCACAACCTGGGTATGTGCTCTGACTGGGAAATGAATCAGTGACCTTTTGGTGTATGGGATGACGCTCCAACCAACTGAGCCACACTGCCTAGGGCTAATGGAGCTTTACTTAAAGCCTGCCAATGCACATATCATATGCATACCGGGGCCTTAGTCCTAGAGAATATGACGCTGGAGTGGGGCTCTGGCATCTGTACCAAGAAACACCAGGCTTCATGTGGAAATTGCTTATCCACAGGTGTGACTATAAAGTAACATGACTGATTTTCCACCAAACCTGGAAGAACTTGTTAGATGCTTGTATTCTCAGAGATTTAAGAGGCCAGATAACTATAATGGCGCAGCCACTGTGCCTGGCTCTTGGGAAGCTTCCATAGGATGTGTATTGTTTGTGCAATGTTCATTTGGAATCTTTAATGTCAGGGGTTTTAAGGTCTACCTGATTTTTGACAATGGTCAAAATGGTGGGCCTGGGGTCCTAGAAGTGCTCAACACAAATTCCTTTTGTGGAAGGAATTTCAGCAATGTTTTGGGCAGTGGGAGAATTAATAGAATAATGCAGGCCTCTAAGAGCACTGCTCTAAAAGTCAAATTTGACAAGGATGTACAAACCCTGACGTGTTTCTTTTGACAACCCGCCAGTGTTCTGTGAGGCCCCTGTCCCTGTCCCTCAGTCCCTCTTTAAGTAAACAGTTTTCTCATCTTACAAGGGGATGCTGGGCAGACTCTTTAGGTTTTCGTGGCCTGGCAGAACCAGGTGCAACAAGGTGGCCACATCACCTGCTTCTGCAGCATCTCCCAGAACCCATAACTCCCTCTGCGAGGTCCATAGGACAGAACACAAGCCCTTCTTTACGGATATTATTCCGGATTGTTGGAGCTCCACAGTCTGAATGTAGTGATACAGACAAAATAATAGGGACCCTGGGGGGCAAAAGGCCAATTATTTATGGAATCATTTGACTCTTTGTAAAACTCCTGGAACCCAGACCTGGGTCTGCTCCACCACCCAGTGGCTGCTTGACCGAAGGCCAGGTAAGCACACACAGTCTGGACAGCCCTAAATCCTTGGCTACACACAAGTCAAGCTACTTACTCCACAGCACTATTTCCCTCTTTACAAAGTTGATAACCCATTTCTAAACTTACCACACTCCTCTATGAGCTTCAGAGGAAAAATGACAAAAATAATCAGCCAACGCCTTATCATGTTCCTCAATTTCAAAGAACTACGAAGAAAGACAGGTAGCAAGAGAAGTTCAGGTTAGAGTTGGATGAGCTCAGCAGCAAGTGGACAATACGCCCCGGGAACCATGGCACGAACAGTTCATAAAGGACTTTCACTTCACACCTGTGACCTCATGGGCTTTGCATCACCAGCTTGGAGAACAGGACTCCAGGGAGGGCTTATCTTTCTTTGATATGTGGGGAAATGGGCTCAGAGAGACTAAGTGGGTTATGTAAGGTACCACTCTGAGGAAGTGGGCAAATACTGAATTTTTTCCTCTTCGACTGCTTCTTGAAACCTAGTTAACAGAAGGAAACAATGCAGTTTTACTGGTTGAGGTTCTTTTTTTTCCAAAGTTATTAAAACTGTGGTCAGATATCTGACTTAGTGAATCTATAAACTTAAAGGAAATTAATTTCATTCCTTGTCTTGGGTTGTTATTTTTCTCAACACTGCTGAAAAAGGCAAAGCCCAGCTGTCGTTCCTTTCTTCAGCCTGAAAGCCCCAGAGGGCGCGGCGGGGTCTCGTCCAGCCCACTCCCGGAGTCCAGCCCAGAGCTCAACACGCCCACAGGGATTTCCGCGCGATCCTCCCAGGCTCCCCTCTCCAACGCTGCCGGCGAACTCCCGAGACTCAGATTCAGGCGGCAACTAAGCAGAAGGCGGGGAAGGGGCTCGGACCTGCACGGGGGTAGTCACCCACACCACCTCGGCAGCCCGGTGAAGCCCACCTCCGTTCGCCACCGCCCGGGCCTTCGAACCTGGGGAGTGTCCGCTGTCGCCAGGCCGGGGCTGGTGGCAGGGCATGGAACCCTGGAGCGGCTGAGGCTGGCGTTGCGGAGGCTACCCGGCGGGCTTGCTGAGTCAGTCTGTGGGCCTCAAGGCGGGGGG